CCGACGCTGACTGATCCTGCACACCCCTGGCAGATGGCCCGCCATCCACTCGGGCGAGGGCAGCTGGCGCAGGCGGAAGCGGCAGGCAGAGGCAAGGGGTGAACGTGAGGTTGGCAGTTACTCTAGGTTCGCGTCCTGTCGACAGGCGGTGACCACGCGTTGAATGCCGCCGTCGACCCAGAATCAGTCGATGTTGAACGATCTGACGTTTCGGAAACGACCGATCGTTCAAGGTTGAACGATGCGGCGGTCTCAGAAAACCATGCCGAAGTCGGCACGACACGAACTTGCCGAAGAGCTGTAGCGAGGTTGAATCTACCCAGGACGATGGGGGGTGAACGCCGATGGGTGCCGCGGGAGGGTGGCAGATAGGCGCAGCTTGACGAGGGAACTGGGTGCCGCTCGCGGGAGGCGCGGGTCGGCACCGCCGATGAGAGACGTGGAAACAGAACGGGGATGCACGGTAGACTGAAGGGCTGAGGCCTTGGAAGCACAAAACGCACGCTTGCCACAGAGACGAGACCCTCCAGCGTCGTGATTTGTGTAGACATTGCGACCACATGTCCGACGAGTCCAGCAGTGATAATAGGAGAAGGAACACCTACACAAAACGACCCTCCCACCCACCCGCCCTCAGAAGATTACCCCAGCGAAGCACCCTAATAGCAGCGAATGTGAAGAGGCGTGTCGAGGAGTAGGACGTCAGCGAGTGAAAACGTGCACTCCTAGGTATGCCTGGGAACTCGTAAGAAGGATGCATGCTGGACACGGGTGAGAACACGGCCATGTGCACCTTAGCGATGTTGTTACAACGGATCGTGGCCGTCCGAACCCTTAATAACTTGTAAGGATGTATCAGGCAAGACGGCTGTCGTACCCGGTGGTCAAGGGCTCCCCGTCGCGCTTGTAGGATTATTCCACGGTTTTCTAACATCGGTGAGCTCTTCCAGTGAGACGCTATTAAGAAAAAATGTGGCCGGCATTGGGACGAGAGCACGACTCTTGAATACATTGGGGGGACATCTCAGGCGAAAACGCCCCCGGACAGGGCGTCCCCAGGCTCCCTGTCCCCCCTGAGACTCGTCTGCGCTTCCTGTTGAAACCCATGTGCATTTCATGTCTCACAGGATCGTGGCCGCCCCATCCCCCCTGTGGTGGCCGGCTTTGAGGCGAGCGCACGTTTAATTAATAAGTTATGTGGCAGTCTCAGGCGAACCGGTTGCTTGACCGGGCGGTCTTTGGTTCCCCATCGCTGTTGTGGGACTCTGTGTTTTTCCATCATAAAGCCATGTATATTTCAGCGTATATTCTTCAAGGGGATGTGGCCGTCCTGATCAAAAATGTAGCCAGCATTGAGGCGAGAGCCCGAATCTGGTGCAAAATCACGGAATCCCCAAATTCCTCTCCAAACGACGTTTGGCATCGTGTCACGATTGAGCACCGTGCCCGGAATATTTGAGTCGTATTGGAATGTGTTGGAATTGTTCCAAACGCGTTTGGTATTATGCCCAGATCGCATTTGCACCGTTATTTTATTCAAGCGGGCGAGGCCGAAAGACATTTGGCATTATACCGGAAACCTTTCGGATTAAACCAAGTTTTCCAGTATTCTACCAAAGCGTCGCTTGGTGCGATATCGGGCGTCATTGTGGACAGCGTTTGGGAGATCGGGGCTCGGCAGTGCGAGGGGGCGTTCTACCAAAGCGTCGCTTGGTGCGATATCGGGCGTCATTGTGGACAGCGTTTGGGAGATCGGGGCTCGGCAGTGCGAGGGGGCGGGAGGCGCCTTACAGTCTGGGTCAGATCCGGACATGCGGATCGCGTGTTGGCGCACGAGGTCACGGTCACGCTCCCCGCGAGCAGGTTGGTATTGTGTGGTTCCCATTTGGAAGCGGGGGTGGTCGAAAGCGAGGCAGGTTTTTACGCCTCTTCGGCTTAGCAATCTTTGAAACATGTTTTCTGGGGACGGGCTCTGTGCCCTCGGTGCCGCGGTCGGGCCCCGAGCGTGCTCCAGCCCAGCGCAGGCAGCCATGGCTTGTCTCGCGACGAGGACGGGCACGACGCCCTTTCCATAGCGCACTGTCGCGACCTTGTGCAGGTCCAGCGCCGATCCCAGAAATCCGCGCGGAGCTCCGACAGATGATGTGCATGCCTGCTGTTGTTCCTCTCGATTTTTGGAAAGTTGGGACGCCTCCTCCCCCACCTCGCTCCGACGGAGGGGGGGGGGGCGCGCGCGGAGGCGGCGTGCCCACTGGGAAGCCCGCCCTGGTGCTCGTGGCCGCCCCCGAGGACCCAGGGCTCTCCGCGCGGGGGCGCCCGCCCAGGCCTCCCGGAGAGGTCGCAGGCGGTCCGGAGGGGGGCCAGGACGAAGGGGGGGGATGTGCGCTGAGGTTTTCGGAGGCTCTCGCAGAGCTTCGGGGCCCGGGGTGGTCTCCAGCAGCTGCGCCTCGTCGACGGCGTTCTGGGGGTGCCCGGATCGTCCCGAGCGGCCGCCGCAGAGCCGTGTTGTGACCCGAAAGTTGCAGCAACGCTAAGGGGGTCTGGGCTCGGGGGGTGACGCATCGACACCGAGTCACCCGTGGATCGCCGACAGGGGCCCGACTGCCCACCCCGCCCAACAACGCAGGGCTTCGCTATCGGGGGTCTATCGCAAATCCATCGGCAATGTACCGCCGATTCCAGATTCCAGGTCGATGCTTCCCTCCCCCCTGAGCAGGGACGCCCGCCTGGCCTTCCAGAGAGGTCGGGGGCGGTCAAGAGGGGGGTAAGGACTGCACTGCCTGGGAATGCAGCTTTGATCGTCTATTTGTCTGCTTTCGTCGTCTTCGGTTTTTCGTCGCTATTGGCCTCTGGTGGCCTGTTTCGGGCCCCATGACCGTCAGAAACGGACTTGTCATGAAAAGCTACCTGGACGATTTGTCGACACGGCCTGTGAAGGTTGCACTCTTTTTCCAGGGGGGTGCAAAGGGGGGAGAGCATGGCCAGGACCAACACATCTTCCGGACTTCATGGCCACTCCTGTTCTTGCAGCGCGTCCGAGCACATGCCCCTGGCCGTGACGCGCACCCCACCCCTCTTTCTGGACCCCCTCTTCGGCGCACCCGGAGAAAGGGCCACCAGATGTCAAGACTTCTTCTTCCTCTTCGGCAGGCTCGAGGTTTGAGGTTTTCGGGCGCTTTCGTCTGTTCCCGACAGTTTTCCAGCCTCGGGGTGCCTTCCAGCAGCTGCGCTTTGCCGAGAACCTTCCTGGAGTGCCCGGACCGTCCCGAACGGCCGAAGGAGGCCCGATTGGCCCGAAAGGCACTTGAAGCCCATACAGTCGTCGTCGTAGTAGTAGTAGTCTTCGTCGTGGTAGTGGTAGTGGTAGTGGTAGTGGTAGTGGTAGTGGTAGTGGTAGTGGTAGTGGTAGTGGTAGTGGTAGTGGTAGTAGTACTAGTAGTAGTAGTAGTAGTAGTAGTAGTAGTAGTAGTAGTAGTAGTAGTAGTAGTAGTAGTAGTAGTAGTAGTAGTAGTAGTAGTAGTAGTAGTAGTAGTAGTAGTAGTAGTAGTAGTAGTAGTAGTAGTAGTAGTAGTAGTAGTAGTAGTAGTAGTAGTAGTAGTAGTAGTAGTAGTAGTAGTAGTAGCAGCAGTAGTAGTAGTAGTAGTAGTAGTAGTAGTAGTAGTAGTAGTAGTAGTAGTAGTAGTAGTAGTAGTAGTAGTAGTAGTAGTAGTAGTAGAAGTAGTAGTAGTAGTAGTAGTAGTAGTTAGTAGTAGTAGGTAGTAGTAGTAGGTAGTAGGTAGTAGGTAGTAGGTAGTAGGTAGTAGTAGTAGTAGTAGTAGTAGTAGTAGTAGTAGTAGTAGTAGTAGTAGTTAGTAGTAGTAGTAGTAGTAGTAGTAGTAGTAGTAGTAGTTTGTTGTTGTTGTTGTTGTCGTAGTCGTAGTCGTATCGTAGTAGTGTCGTAGTCGTAGTCGCGTAGTCGTAGTCGTGTAGTATTAGTAGTACGTAGTGCTAGTAGTTAGTATTGTAGTATTAGTAGTAGCAGTACTAGTACTAGTACTAGTACTAGTACTAGTACTAGTACTAGTACTAGTACTAGTACTAGTACTAGTACTAGTACTAGTACTAGTACTAGTACTAGTAGTACTAGTACTAGTACTAGTACTAGTAGTAAAGTAGTTAATGTAGTAGTAGCGGTAGTAGGCGAAGTAGTCGTAGTAATAGTAGTAGTAGTAGTAGAAATTTGTAGTAGTAGTAGTAATAATAATAGTAGTACTGGTGGTAGTAGTAGTAGTAGTAGTAGTAGTAGTAGAAGTAGTAGTAGTAGTAGTAGTAGTAGTAGTAGTAATGATGGCGGTATCAGTAGTAGTAGCAGTGCCGCTAGTAGTACTAGTAGTAGTTGTGGTGGTAGTAGTAGTAGTAGTAGTAGTAGTAGTAGTAGCAGCGACTAGTAGTAGTAGTAGTAGAGGTAAGAGCAGTAGAAGTAGTAGGAGTACGCGTAGCAGTTGTAGATGTAGTCGTAGTAGTAGCAGCAGTGAGGGTTGTAGCCGTAGTATTGTCACTTAGTAGTTAGCAGCTAGTAGCTAGCGGCTGGTAGCTAGTATTTCGTAATTAGTAGCGGATAATTGGTTGCTCGCTGCTAATCGTTGCGCATCTCTGCCAGTAGGTGGTACGTAGTAGTAGGTGGTACGTAGTGGTAGTAGTAGTAGTAGTAGTAGTAGTAGTAGTAGTAGTAGTAGTAGTAGTAGTAGTAGTAGTAGTGTTCAAAGTGGTAGTAGTAGCAGTGGTAGTAGTAGCACTAGTAGTAGCAGCAGCAGTCGTGCTAGCAGTATTAGTAGTAGGTAGTAGCAGTAGCGATAGCAGTGGCAGTAGAAGTATCAGTAGTAGTACTACAACCACGACTAGTAGTAGTAACACTGGTAGTGGTAGTGGTGACGGTAAGGGTGCTAGTAGTAGTAGTAGTAGTAGTAGTAGTAGTAGTAGTAGTAGTAGTAGTAGTAGTAGTAGTAGTAGTAGTAGTAGTAGTAGTAGTAGTAGTAGTAGTAGTAGTAGTAGTAGTAGTAGTAGTAGTAGTAGTAGTAGTAGTAGTAGTAGTAGTACCAGTAGTAGTAGTAGCAGTGGCAGCAGTAGTAGTAGTAGTAGTAGTAGTCGTAGTCGTAGTAGTAGCAGCAGTAGTAGCAAGTGTAGTTGTAGTTTCAGCCGTCGTGGTAGTAGCCGTCATAGTAGTAGTAGTGGTAGCCATTAGTAGTAGCAGTAGTAGTAGTAGCAGTAGTAGTCGTAGTGGTAGTAGCGGTAGTAGTGTTACTAGTAGTAGTAATAGTAGTAGTAGTAGTAGTAGTAGTAGTAGTAGTCGTCGTCGTCGCCGTAGTAGTAGTAGCAGTCGTCGTAGTAGCAGCAGTTGTGGCTGTCATTGCTATAGTAGTTTTAGTAGTTCCAGGAGTAGTAGTAGTAGTAGTAGTAGTAGTAGTAGTAGCAGTAGCAGCAGCAGCAGTAGTAAAAGTAGTAGTAGCAGTAGTAGTAGTAGTAGTAGTAGCAGTAGTAGTAGTAGTAGCAGCAGTAGTCGTAGTAGCAGTAGTAGTAGTGGGAGCCGTCGTAGTAGCAGGAGTAGTAGTAGTAGTAGTAGTAGTAGTAGTAGCAGTAGCAGTTGTAGTAGTAGTAGTAGCAGCAGTAGTAGTAGTAGTAGTAGTAGTAGTAGTAGTAGTAGCAGCGGTAGCAGTAGCAGTAGTAGTAGTAGTAGTAGTAGTAGCAGTAGTAGTAGTAGTGGTGTTTGGTGTGTGGTGTTTGGCGTTTGCTGCTTGGTGCTTTGTGTTTGGTGGTTGGTGCTTGGTGCTTGGTGTGTGGTGCTTGGTGTTTGGTGTTGATGGGTTCGGTGCTTGGTGTTTGGTGTTTGGTGTCTGGGGTCTGGGGTCTGGTGTTCGATGTTTGGGGGTTGGGGGTTGGGGGTTGGGGGTTCGGGGGTTCGGGGTTCGGGGTTCGGGGCTCGGGGTTCGGGGTTCGGGGTTAGGGGTTCGGGGTTCGGGGTTGGGGGTTAGGGGTGCGGGGTTGGTGTTTGGGGTTGGTGTTTGGTCTTTGGTCTTTGGTCTTTGGTGTTTGGTGTTTGGTGTCTGGTGTGTGGTGTTTGGTTTTTGGTGTTTGGTGTTTGGTGTTTGGTGTTTGGTGTTTGGTGTTTGAGGGTTGGTGTTTGGGGGTTGGTGTTTGGTGTTTGGTTTGTGGTGTTTGGGGAAGGCGGGAAGACTTGTCAGGGCCTCACCCGGGGAACTAACCGACCCGGCATTTGCTTCATTTCACCCAGAGAACGAATCCTTTTTCCCGGGGAACGAACCCTTCTTCTGGAGAAGAATTGTTTCCCTATAGGGAGCTCCACCGAAGGCCCCAGTGGCGCAGCCCGCATGCGTCTCCCAACCCAGTACAGCGCTTCGTGGCCCTATAGGGAGCTCCACCGAAGGTCCCAGGGGCGCAGCCCGCATGCGTCTCCCCCACCCAATACAGCGTTCCGTGACCCCGTGGGGAGCTCCACGAAATGTCCAAGTGTCGCAGCCCGCATGCGCCTCCCACACCCAGTACAGCGCTTCGTGGCCCTGTAGGGCACTACCTCCACCGACGGTCCCAGTGTCGCAGCCCGCATGCGTCTCCCCTACCCAGAACAGCGCTTCGTGGCCCCATAGGGAGCTCCACCTAAGGTCCAAGTGGCGCGGCCCGCATACGTCTCCCACACCCAGTACAGCGTTTCGTGGCCCTATTGGGAGCTCCTCCTAAGGTCCTGGTGTCGCAGCCCGCATGCGTCTCCCCTACCCAGCACAGCGCTTCGTGGCCCTATAGGGAGCTCCTCCGAAGGTCCCCGTGGTGCAGCCCGCATGCGTCTCCCACAACCAGTACAACGCTTCGTGGCGCCATAAGGAGCCCCACCAAAGGTCCCAGGGGCGCAGCCCGCATGCGCCTCCCACATCCAGCACAGCGCTTCTTAGCCACATATGGAGCTCCACCGACGGTCCCAACGCCGCAGCCCGCATGCGTCTCCCCTACCCAGCACAGCGTTCCGTGGCTCTGTGGGGATTTCCACCAAAGGCCCCAGTGTCGCAGCCCGCATGCGTCTCCCACACTCAGTACAGCTTTTCGTGTCCCTGTAGGGAACTCCACCGACGGTCCCAGGGGCGCAGCCCGCATGCGTCTCCCCCGCCCAGTACAGCGTTGTCGTGGCCCCGTGGGGAGCTCCACAAAAGGTCCCAGTGTCGCAGCCCGCCTGCGTCTCCCACACCCCGTAGAGCGTCCCGTGGCCCCATAGGAAGCTCCACCGAAGGTCCCAGTAGCGCAATTCGCATGCGTCTGCCCTGCCCGGTACAGCGCTTCGTGGCCCTATAAATGGGCTCCACCGAACACGATACTTACATCTGCTGTATTCACAGCTGCATATGGTTGGGCCCTTCGCCAGGCTAATGTTTGGCGGCGCTCCATGGTTGTTTCCATCCCGTAGCCTGTTCGGCTCAGGCATGCCGCGTGGCTGATCGATAGTAGATTTGCCGTTTGGTCGTCGTCCCGTCATCAGTACCGACGGAACAGTGATATGGACGATGGTTCTCTGGGCCCCTGTTTACTATCCACACCAGGTGGCCAGAAATAGCCCGAACACGACCCAAGATCAACCAAAAACGGCTTGGACGCTGCCTACAAGGACCCATGCGGCTCAGTCGGGCGTTGAACGGCCGAAACGACAGCACGTCCGTGTTGGGCCGCAAACCCGTCGGAATGCCATTGAAAATCAGGCTGGTTGGGGGCCAGGTTGGGTTTTGTTTGAGGGCCACGTGAAGCCCAGGAGCGTCCAACACTCATCCTGGATCGAGTCCACATCGGGAAACGACATCGACGATGACGACGACGATGGCGTGGACGACGACACAGGTAGACCAAACGCGAGCCATAATTAGCAGTCTGTGTCCGCGAGCCTCCAGGATGCCTCTTGAGTGCTTCTTGAGTATGTCGAATCTAAGTGGTGCCATGCGAACACTCGTGAAGTCTCTCGGGGCCTCTTGGGGATCGTGTTGGGTCCTCTTCTGGGCCTGTCGGGGGCGTCTTCTGGGCCTCTTGGGGTTCGTTGGGGCTCTTAGGAACTCCTGTGGGGCCTCTTGGGACGAAGGGCTCGAAAAGTTTGTTCGAGCTCCTCCTGTTGGGCCCTCTCGGGCCCGCCTTGGGCTTGGGGCTCTCTTGGGCAATATTGGGGCCTGTTTGGCGGCCGTCTTGGGGCGATCTTGGAGCCCTCTTGGGCTTTCTTGGAGCCCTCTTGGGCCGTCTTGGGGCCCACTTGGGTCGTCTTGGGGCCCTCACGGCGGCCTCTTGGGCCGCCCCGTCCGTCTTCCAGTAAAACTAGGCCAATTCTAGGCTGTTTTGGGTCCGTTTGGAAGCCCAAGTGGGGCCCCGAATCTTCCAAAATAGATCCCGGAGCGCGCCCAAAAACGGCGTCCAAATTTAACAGATGGGACATACCCCAGACGAGCCCGAAAGGCAGTTATAAGAAGCGTCCGGGTCACCACCGGGGAAACTAAAATCGCTTTTGTTCAGAAAAACTAAAACTAGATATACAATAAGAGTAAGAATAAGAGCAATAAGAATAGCAACAATAAGAATAAGAATAAGAACAAGCATAGAGGAAAGAAACAAGTACTTGCGATATTTTTTACGTGCCAGCTTTTCGGCGAGAACGGGCCACAATGGCGCTCTCGAGGGCCCCGGGAGCGGACTTTGGAGGCCAAGGAGGGGCCCCGACGGGGCCGAAATGAAGCCGAAATGCGCCCCGGAGCCGTCCTCAGAACGATCTGAAAATCGAGCTCGTCTTGGAAGCCGTCTTGGAGGTGTCTTGGGGACTGGCGGAATGGCGGAGGCCTCCATGGGGGGATTAGGGGGGGGGCGGACTAAAGCGTTGTAAGGAGCTCTCGCAGTTAAGTCTCACACGCCCCTCAGCCCGGTGGGCGGGCGGATTCAAAAGGCTTACGCCATTCTGTCGACCGCCAAGTAGATACTCGATAAGCTTCGCTCGAAAGAGAGGACTTTGACAAGCTTTTTTTGGAGGGTGTCGAAGGCGTCGTGGTCGGGGCCACCGTGCCTGGGCTGTGAATTAGTCAGGAGCCCCTTGGATGCATATGAGGCATGCCTCTCGGGGGCCTCTTGGAGGGCTCTTGGGGGCATGTAGAGGGCTTTATGTGGCCCCTTGGGGGCCTCGTGGAGGAACCAAATTTGTTGATTTTACGTGCGCCGTTCCTGCACTTGGCCCCCGCCGGAGGAGCTGGCCGCACCCGGTGCCACTGGGGCGGCAACGCCAGGCAGAGGCCGCGCTGGTCAGGACGTGCCCCTCGTTGCGGCTGGGGGAGCGGACAGCAGGCGCAGGATGAAGGCAGGACGGCGGCCAAGCAGAAGCTTGGAAGCACAGACATGGATTAGGGATACGGTCGGACCGAGGTGTTAGATCGAGGACGGTTCGGGGAGGGTATCCTAATGTTATTCGTGTTTGTTGAAGGTTCTTGCACATCCTGGGGGGACCCTCGAATACTCATCAGTTTGGCTGGCGGAGGGTCTCATGTTCTTGCAGGATGTTTTTCTGTCCTAGGTGCGGCCGAACGTGGATATGGTGCGCGGTCGCCAGATCCATGGATCGGGGAAGGTACCCCCGAGAAATGGCGCCAGTGCCGCCCAATGTGGTGGCCTGAGCGCGCCGATTCTGCACCGAAAGGGGACCCGTCGCTAGTCTACGCGCTTTCATCCATGTTTGCGTTTGCTCGAGAATCGGGGAAGCGCAGACATGGCTGAGGGCGCTTAGTGTTAGCGACAGGCCCCGCTTCTGCACAAAATCGGTACGCTGCGTCTCCAAATCGGTCCGCGCTGGCGCCGTGTTTCGGGGGGGGATCTCCCCGATCCCTACGATCCATGTAGGCGCGCGCCCGGAAGAAGCACAGAGGTAACAATAAATGTCTGCCGCTGGGGAGTCTAAGGCGGCGATGTACGGTGGTCGAGAACGTTTGGGTCGCGTGTCGCTCCGCTGGTTTTGGCCCACCACGCTTCGCCGCGCCACGCTGTCCACTTCCCAGTCCCCAGGCTTCAACGTCACGAGCTTTTCCCAGCGCCCCGCGGAGCGGAGCGACACGCTATCGCGTCGCCAGGCATAGCGTGTCGCTGGGGCCGCCGCGGCGACACGCTAAGCAAAAGATCACGACCGTAATGCAGGATGACGGTTAAGAAGCAGCACAGGGGCAGAGGGATCGATGAAGAAATTGATTTCTGCCGCTGGGAAGTCTAAGGCGGGGATTGAGCCACCACCACCGCCTGGGTGATCCAACTTCCGGGGCCTCGGCGAGTGGTGGATGTGGACATGTTCGGGCCCTTCAGGGAGGGAGGCAAATATATCCACATCCAACGCCCCTGGGGTCCCAGGACATCGGTTTCCCAGGAGATGGGTATGGATAGATCCCCGCCTCGCAAGAAGGGCCTTGGAGGACGATCGAAGAATCTCAGTGACGGCGACGACGGCGAAGCCCACGAGCAGGCCTGGGACCCGACATAAAGATCATCGCCCAGGGCATTCCTGTGTGACGGCCCCCCTGGCACTTCTTCGTCGTCTTACATTCCAGACGGCATGGTCTTTCGTTAAGCCTTCTCCAAAACACTGTTCGACTTTGCTCGCCAGCTCGCTCCTCGGGCAACCGCTTGCGCACGGTTGTATCCAATCCGCCGTGACTTGTAGAAAGTGAACCCGACGCGACCCAGATCAGGGCGATTCGTTTTGGAGGAAGAAAAGCCATGCGAGAACCAGCTAACCGAAAAGGAGCTCCTAAACCATGGTCTCCCTTTGAAACCAAAAGGCAAGGCGAAATGTGGAGGACCTCTTGAGGTGCAATGGGAGCCTTCGCGGGCCCTGTTGGCCCCATCTTAGGACTTTCTTGGCACATCTCCGAACCGCCTTGACGCCTCAGATGCCCATCAGAAGCCAAAAACGAGAAGAGACGAGAATCATCGAAAAATGTGTTCAGCAGCTGGGAGGCTCAAAGGTCAGCTCAGAGCCATAGTGGGGCCGATTTGAGCCATCTTGAGCCCTCCGGAAACCTCCGAAACGTCGTCGTCGTCGTCGTCGTCGTCGTCGTCGTCGTCGTCGTCGTCGTCGTCGTCGTCGTCGTCGTCGTCGTCGTCGTCGTCGTCGTCGTCGTCGTCGTCGTCACGGTCGGCCGCCTGCCAGCCCGACGCGGGCCGCTCGCGCGCGCCGCCCCCCGCGCGGGGCCCCGCGCCCCTCCAGGAGACGCCCAGCGAGCGGGGGCACTCCCCACCGCCCGGCGCCGCCGGGGCCGCGGAGGCGCGCGCCGTTAGGAGGAGGAGGAGGAGGAGGAGGAAGAGGAGAAGGAGGAGGAGGAGGAGGAGGAGGAGAAAGAAGAATAGGAGGAGGAGACCTTTGAGTTGACGATACTTCAGAGGCAACGTGAGGCGGGCCGCTTCCTGCGCCACAGGGCCTCCTCTCCCTGCTCGGGAGAAGAGGCAGTGATCTGAGCATAGACTGTCGGAGGTCCGCGCGGAGTTCTCGGATCGGCGCTGGGGGCCCCGGGCGGCGCCCTTGGCGCGCTCCGCGCGCCAGGGAGGGGGCTCCAGCGCCGATCCGAGAAATCCGTGCAGACCTCCGGATTCGTATGCTTACGTGATTGTTTGTTCCCCAACTACTCCCTCCCGTCTGCCATCATCCGTTCGATGGCCCATGGGACCTGAACCAGCCCAAAGTAGATCTGCATAGTTGACCTCGCCGCGTGTCGCTGATTTGGAGATCCCTCAGCAGGCCCTCTCCGGGCCCTGGAACTGTCCCAAAACGACTCGACATGAAAAGTCGGTCCGGGGGAACGGGTCGAGACGTCTGGAAGCCCAGCGGGGCATTCGAAGAGCCAAAGATTACATGTCGCCGGCGATCTGATTTTTCTGAATCCTGGCGCTTTTCTTTGATTTCGGCCCATGGGGCCCGTTGTCCAGCCCCAGGGCCATCAAAAATGGATACGGGACGAAATGCGACTTACCCCTGCTAAAGCGCAGGGAGCGTGCAGCTCTCAATGTGTACTCATACTGCGTGTCGAAGGTTGGCGCACGCATGGCTTCTGACGCATCTGACTGACTGAAGGGGTCGGGCCCTTCGAGCCCGCGCAACGTAAAAATCAAAATTATCGTCGGATGCTTGGAAAAGACGGAGGTTGATGGAGCCCCACCTCATGGGGAACGTCAGGAGGAGATAGGCTCAGGGGGGAGCGCATCGACCCCCAATCGCCCATTGATCACCGATAGGGGGGGCAATAGCCCACAGAGCTCAGGAGCCTTCGCAATCGCATTGGGGGAGCATATCGCCGATCTATTGGCGATGTATGGCAGATTCCAGCTCGATGTTTCCCCTCTGAGCCTGTCCTCCTCTAGCGTTCCCCTCACTATCTGACGGGGCGGTGCCCAGATATTTGGCATCTCGCTAAGATCGAGACGGCACGTGTTTCCCCCATTGTGGGCGCTTTGGGAAGCCAGTTTCGGGCCTTGGGGCCGTCGAAGCCAAATTCGGGATGGCGAACCAGCCCCTGGAAAGTGGGCGAGAGGTCTGGGGTGCCATGGCCCGAAGAAATCGAGCCGCGGGATGTCAGGAACAGCAGGCCCAGATTTCGGGTGGATCGATGCTGTTCAGTCCCGGCGTTTCTCCCTCTCTTTCGGCCCCCGCCGAGGAACCCACCGTGGCGTAAACGAGGGGGAGGAGGAGGAGGAGGAGGAGGAGGAACAGGAACAGGAGGAGGAGGAGGAGGAGGAGTAGGAGATGGTCTTCCGAGATCCGCGCGGATTTCTTGGGCCGGCGTTGGAACCCCCGGCGGCGCCTGCGGAGCCGCCCCTTGGCGCGCTCCGCGCGCCGACCCGAGAAAGCCGAGCAGATCTCCGCGAAGGTGTTTTACGCAGCCGTCTGCTCCGCGACGTGGGCCACACGGAGGGAGCACGGGCGCACTCCTCGGGGGCGGAAAAGAGGGGGGTGATGACTAGGGGGGGGGGATATCATGGCCGGGGCCATGATATTTCCCCAGATTTCATGGCGCCCCTTCTTGTTTCATCACGTCCCTGGCGCCCCCGCTGGGGCGCGCACATGCCGCCAGTCATTATTTGCACCCCCCCCTCTTGGACACCCTCCTCTTGGCCGCTCCCGAACTCCGCGCGCAAGGGGGGGGAGGTCCAGCGCCGATCCAAGAAGGCAACGCGGACCTCCAACAGTTTTTGCTTGTGCGGCTCGTGATTCGTCTGCCCAAGTGGCTTGCGCCCTTCCGCCGAACCCCAGGGCTCCTGTGGGCAGCTGCGGGGCCTTTCGGGGCTCCTCGAGGGGCCCTTGGGGGCTTCTCGGGGGCCTCGTGGAGGCCTTTGGGGGCCTCTTCTCCGACAGCTTTTTTGCCTGTGCAGTGTATGACTGCTCGACTCCGGAGAGGCGGCTCCTGGGCTCCCCGGGACGGCAGCGGTGGGCCCAGGCGGAAGGCTGCCCCCTCGGAGGCGGCCGGCGGACGGGAAAAAACGGCAATGCGTCGGAGCTCTGGGCGGACAGGCCGTGAGATCTGTCGGCAGCGAGCCGCGGGGGGGGGAAGGCGTGGGCAGCAAGGGCATGTGTTGGCATCCGCGGCCTCGCGTGCTGGGCCCCTGGGCCGCGGCCCTGCGGATAGGGGGCGTTTTTTTTTGCGCGGGTGCCCCGCGCGGAACTCTAGCTGTCCCCTTTCTCTTCCTCTCGTCATCGCCATCATCATCATCATCATCATCATCATCATCATCATCATCATCATCATCATCATCATCATCATCATCATCATCATCATCATCATCGTCATCGTCATCGTCATCGTCATCGTCATCGTCATCGTCATCATCATCATCATCATCATCATCATCATCATCATCATCATCATCATCATCATCGTCATCGTCATCGTCATCGTCATCGTCGTCGTCGTCGTCGTCGTCATCGTCATCGTCGTCATCGTCATCGTCATCGTCAGCATCGTCGTCGTGATCGTCATCCGCAGCAGCATCAGCATCAGCATCAGCATCACATCATAATCATCGACGTCATCATCACCATCATCGTCATCATGACCGCTGGCACACCCCTCTTTACATTTCGTGGGCCCATAGGGGGCTTCATCTAGAACCTCCGTGGCGCAATTCGCATGAGGGCATCACTCACGTTTCGGCACACCACTCACACGTTCCATGGCCCCATAGATGGCTCCACCGAGTGCCTCTGTGGCGCAGTTCGCATGTGGGCGTCAAGCCCGTTTCGGCACACCACTCACACGTTCCATGGCCCTATAGGCAGCTCCACCGAGTGCCTCTGTGGCGCAGTTCGCAGGTGGGCGTCACGCACGCGTCAGCACACCACTCATACGTTTCGTAGCCCCATAGGGGGTTTCATATAAGGCCCCGGGGCGCAGCTCGCATGTAGGCGTCACGCCAGCTTCGGCACACCATTCACACGCTTCGTGGCCCCATAAGGGGGCTCCACCGAGTGCCTCTGTGGCGCAGTTCGCATGTGGGCACCACGCCAGTTTCGGCAAACCCCTCACACGTTTCGTGGCCCCATAGAGGGCTCCACCGAGTGCCTCTGTGGCGCGGTTCGCATGTGGGCGTCACGCCCGTTTCGGCACACCAGTCACGCGTTTCGTGGCCCCATAGGGAGCTCCACCGAGTGCCTCCTTGGCGTAGTTCGCATGTGGGCGTCAAGCCCGCTTCGGCACACCACTCATAGGTTCCGTGGCCTCATAGGGGGCTCCACCGAGTGCCTCTGTGGCGCAGTTCGCAGGTGGGCGTCACGCACGCGTCAGCACACCACTCATACGTGTCTTGGTCCCATGGGCGGCTCCACCGGGTGCCTCAGTGGCGCAGTTCGCATGCGGGCGTCACGCACGCTTCGGCACACCATTCATACGTTTCGTGGCCCCATTGGAAGTTTCATCGAAGGCTCCCGTGGCGCAGCTCGCATGTAGGCGTCACGCCCGTCTCGGCACACCACTCACACGTTTTGCAGCCCCATAGGGAGCGCCACCGAGTGCCCCCGTGGCGCAGTTCGCATGTGGGCGTCACGCCCGTTTCAGCACCCTCCTCACACGCTTCGTGGCCCCAGAAGGGGTTCCACCGAGTGCCTCCGTGGCGCAGTTCACATGCGGTTCCCCACCCATGTCGGCACACCCCTAGGGAGCTCCACAGGGTGCCCCCGTGGCACAGTTCGCATACGGTTCCCCACCCATTTCGGCACACCCCTCCCACGTTTCGTGGCCCCAAAGGGAGCTCCACCGAAAAAGATGGCCACAACGCGAAACTCACTACTGCACATGGCTGGGTCCTTCGTCCAAATAATGTTCACGAGGTTGCATGTTATTCTCAACCATCATGTGGGATTGGGTCCTCGTTTTGAAGAGACAGCACCCCGCGTCCTCACCCTTCCTCTTTTCTCCTCCCCCTCCTCCCTCCTCTCACCCTTGCCTCTGCTCTTTCGCGTGCCCATTTCGACTCACCACTCACACGGTTCGTGGCCCCAAAGGGAGTTCCACCGAAGGCCCTGGTGACAGCGTCCACATGCGCCCTCCTCGCCCACCGCATACCCACTTCGGCACACCCCTTCACACGGTTCGTGGCCCCATAGGGAGCCCCACCGAAGGCCCCAGTGGCAGCGTCCACATGCGCCCTCCCCGCCCAACGAATGCCCATTTCGGCACACCACTTCACACGGTTCGTGGCCCCATAGGGAGCCCCACCGAAGGCCCCAGTGGCAGCGTACACGTGCGCCTTCCCTGCCCTTCGCATGCCCATTTCGGCACACCCCTTCACACGGTTCGTGGCCACATGAGGAGCCCCACCGAAGGCCCTTGTGGCAGCGTCCACATGCGCCCACCCCGCCCGCCGCATGTTCATGTCAGCGGCACACCCCTCACACGGCTCGTGGCCCCGTCGGGAGCTGGGCCGAAGGCCCCAGGCTGCCGGAGGGTTTGCGGAAGCATCTGGAGGAGTTTGCGGCGCGCACGAAGCGGTGCAGGAGGGAGGCGACGGCCCGCGCCAGGGAGTTAGGCGTTCCGCGAGGCCTGACCTGGGGAGCTGGCCCACCCGAGCAGCGCCTTCTCTCGATTGTCCCATCTTTTGGCCTCGCGCCGCGGGCGACCCGCGCGCGTCGCTGCAATCCTCTCGGGGCGACCAGCGCGCGTCGCGGGAACTCCGTGCTGCGCTCTGCCCAGAGCCTCGCTCGCCCGTCGTCGTTCTCCCCCCCGGCCGGAGCCTTGCCCGCTATCCTCCAGCCAGCTACCTCTCGCTGCTCCGCGCAGCGAACGACCTGGGCGCATCGCTGGGACCTCTTCGGGGCGACCAGCGCGCGTCGCGGAGACTCCGCGCTTCGTTCGCCCCGCAGCCTTCGACTTTGGAGCGCGCGGGCAAGCAGGAGAAAAAGAAGGGAAGGGCCATCTTGGACGGTCTAGTTTTTCTCGTGCCCCCCATCGTACAGATCACGGACACAGGGAGCCCCGCCGAAGGCCCTATAGGAAGCTCCACTGAAGGCCCCAGTGGCAGCGCCCGCGCGCCGCCACCATCCCACTTTGGCACAACCCTCACACGTTTCGTGCCCCCATAAGGAGCCCCACCGAAGATGATACTCACGGCCGCGGTACTCACAGCTGCATTTGGCTTGGTCCTTCGCCAGGCTAATTTCGCGACGTCGGATCTCAGGGACAAGGAAGGGTTATGCTGTTCAGCATTCCAGGACACACGGCCGCTCAAGAGAAGCGGCGCGGCCAGTTGTTTTATTGTCTGGGGCCGCTGGAGGCAAAAGCCGGGCCCTAGGACTCGGGGGAGGGTCGAAAGGTCCAGGAGGCACGTCTCACAGAATTGTATTCCGCCAGCCGTTTCGTCTGCTGTTTTCCAGTTATAGCGAGGGAGACGAATCTTCCTCAAGGAAGGAATCGCGCAATGATGCCTGATTCTGATCACGGGCATGACTCACGATGTGGATGAGAACATGCTGCTACCGTGTATACAAGTACTTCCGCGCGTGTACGAACCAGTCGTGAACGAGGTGTCGTAGGATGCCACTCGTGGGCCCAAGAAACGGCAGCGGAGTTTGTTGTGCTTCAAATGAGATCTTGGAGGCGACATACGCAATTCTGCCGATCCCTAAATGAACGCGGGTGCCCCAGGGAGGGCAAAGTGGAGGAGGAGGAGAAGGAGGAGGGGGAGAAGAGCTCTACTCGTTGCCTCCTCGCCTTTCTTGCCTCACCGTCGTCGGCGCGAGGTGCCCCAGGCAGCTCCCTGGGTTCCGCTGAATATCCCGGTCGACAACAGTCCGGTCCCTAATCAGGAGGGGCGCAAAGTGGGCGGGGAGACGCGCGGGTCGAGGGCGAATTGCGACCACGGCGTTGGACGATAACATGTTCTGACGATTTTTGGGCGGTATGGTGGTTATATGTCAGTAGGCAGGCCAACTCGGGAATGCGGAACGATTCCGATGGATCTGGCACGTTGAGACGCTGCAGGACAGTATACCCGAACATAGGTGACAGGTCGTGTTATCACGTCTGGGAACGGAAAGTCCAGAAGTTGGGGTCCAAGACCAGATTGATCTTCAGCACATCCGAAAGAATGGTGGGGGCCTCAATCGACAAATGAAGAGGCGTTGCGCCTACAGGGGCACCCATCTTGTGATGAACTTTGCCTTGCCTTTTTCTTCGTTCGAAGGAGGATCGGGTCGCTCCGAGATTCCTTGGACAGTTTTCGATTGTTGCTCGTCGTTTGCTTACTCTTTACTACGAGATCCCGTGATGGTCCTCACCACGTACCGCATTTTGACCACCACGTTTCTGTTTCTGCCTTGGGGCCGGCTGGGGGGCTGAGGTATGGCATCGCGGGTTCCAGCCGTTAGGAGGGAACACAAGTTTCGTTGTTTGCCCCCTCTGATCCACCTTCTCCAGATGGGCACTGAGTGCCGAATGTGCCCCTTTTCCCCTCCTGGCCGGTTTTGATGGTGCCCATCCAGAGCAGAGCTCCCAGCCGCCTCCATTATGTCCGCCTTCCTTTTCCTGTGTCCCTCTATCTCTTTGTCTCCCTCCCTCTCTCTCTCTATCTCGGGGCGCTGGTTTACAATTCTGCAGCCTCCGCCTTGGATTGTTCAGTCCATCTGGCAGGCAGCTCGCTCTGCAGGTGGCGATGCACGGAGCTCATTTCTAGCGTGTCCTGCTCTGGGATATATGCGGGCATTCGGGGCTCGGCATTTGTCGGGTGTAGCCAGAAATATTCTTGGTCCAAGGCGTCCCTAGGGTCCCCAGTGAGACCCCCACAGCCTCTAGAGCGCCCCTCACGAGACCCAGAAGGCCCCAGGGGCTCCAAAATGTAGCGAAAAGTTGGAGACACCTTGGGCTGGGACACCTTTGGCAACCACAGAAAATGCGGACAAGTGCCTGGCATGTGCCGTGCGCAGTAATCGATCGGCGTGTGCATGTGTGCGGGAAAATGTAGGGGTATGCACACCGACCGTTTCAAAAGAAGCCCCATTCGGATCTCGCCCACTGCTTGACATTTGCGGGTGTGCAGGCATGTGTGGAGACACGGTGTTCTTCCTCTCTTCTTCCTCCTCATCCTCCTCCTTCTCCTCCCCATCTCTTTTTCTTCTCCTCCTTCCTTCCCCTCCTCTTCCGCCTCCTCACCGTCATCCCCCGCCTTCCTTTTGCTTATCCTCCTTCGTCGTCGTCCCTCTCCTCGTGCATCCCTCTCCTCCTTCTCCTCATCCTCCTCCTCCTCCTCCTCCTCCTCCTCCTCCTCCTCCTCCTCCTCCTCCTCCTCCTCCTCCTCCTCCTCCTCCGTACTATCACCCTCCTCCTCCTCCTCATCCTCCTCCTCGTCGCTCGTCCCTCCTCCTCATCATCATTATCATCGTCCTCTTCCTCCTCCTTATCATCATCATCATCATCAGCATCATCATCATCATCATCATCATCATCATCATCATCATCATCATCATCATCATCATCGTCATCAGCAGCAGCAGCATCACCATCATCCACATCATAGACATCATCATCAGCACCAACATCAGCATCATCATGACTGGTATTATCATCAGCAGCAGCAGCATCGTCATCATCATCATCGGCATCGTCATCATCATCATCATATTCATGATACTCATCATCACCATCAGCCGTGGCAGCAGCATCCTCATCAGCATCATCGCCAATGGCATCGTCTTCATCATCATGACCACCACCATCATCAGCATCATCATCAACATCGTCGTCATCAGCATCACTACTGTCATCATCCTCATCATAGTCATCATCAGCATCATCACCACCAGCATCATCATCATCAGCAGCATCCCTCTTTCTCAGTCTTTTCCTGCATCTCTCTCTCTCTCTCTCTCTCCCCCCATCAACAATTACACAATCGGGGTATGATTCTCCTCTCTCCCCCGAATATGTGCTGAGAGTGTCCCCGCGTATTTTTTACATGAGGTTTGCGCGGACGAGCTTTCCGTATGTGCTTTCTCATTTCGATGTTTCCGCGTATTGGTTTTACATATGATTTGCGTTGACGAGTTTTTCGTATGTTTTCTCATACCGATCCCTCCGCGTGTTGGTTTTTATGCATGAGTTGCGCCGACGAGCTTATCTTGTGTGTTTCATCGCTTCGATCGGCTGCGCTCCTTCCAGAATGGCGCTCCCGCTGCAGCACAATTTCCGCGTTCCCGGTCTTTCCAAAATGGCACCACCGATACAGTGTTGGCTTCGCGTGCGCGGTGGCGGTCCTGCTAAATGGAGGTACCGTTGCCAAACCCCCTCCTACCGTTTGTCCCCCTCCTTCCTTGTCATCTCCCGCCGATCCAAGGCCCTGCCCTCCCCCCTCCCACCCCCCCCCTTTGTCTCTGCGTCGAAGCCGCTTCGAGGCTCGACATCGGTGTCTGCGTGTCAAGGCTTCTTGACCCCCTCTGGCCCATCTCGGCATGAAAGTCTGATTCGATAGCCGATTCAGTGAGAAGACAAATGGTTAGCGCAGTGGGCAGGGATGAGAGGGAAGGGTAGGTTGTCAGATGAGGCGCAAGCGCACCTAGCGTGTCCTCCCCCTCTCTTTGTCCTCCTCCTCATCATCCTCCTCCGCCTCCTTCTCCTCATCGTCCTTCTCCTCCTCTTCCTCCTCCCTCCAAGCGCCTGGAGCTGTGCAAGGAGCTGTGCAAATATTGTGCTGGCATCACACGGGATCTGCCTGGCATGTGTGGGACGAGGACATGTGCTTGGTTGTGCCTTCCTTGTCCCGCACATGCCCAGGACATGCCAGGCACATGCCAGCGCACTGCACAGCTCCATGCGCCTAGAAGGACGAGGAGAAGGAGGAGGAAGTGTAGGGGGGCCCAAGGGCTACGGGTAGGATAAGAAAGAAGAGGAGGAGGAGGAGGAGGAGGAACGTGCACGGCTTGGTTCACGGAAATGGTGAGGGCCATTTTGTGTGTGTTTGATGGGAGTGTATGGCATGTGCGGGGTGACGGTGGCGTCCGAAATGCCTTGTGAAAAGGTGCACAGGTGGGTGTGCACCGATTGTGCGGCATGTTAGGCAAAAAACGGCACAAGACATAGAAACGAGCGCACTAGAAATGAACATTGTAGAATTGAGCTCTGAGCACATCTTGGTGAGGCAGTTCTTGTATGTTGGGGGGAGCGTTCTTTATGGCCACACCCGCGTTATCGGCCATGGCAATGGCCGCGTGTAGGGAGTCTCCCCTTGGGGGCAGACAGCAGGCCCACGTGCGATCCTCAGCCCAGGAAGTGCCAGCTCATGAAGCCTGATCGGAGTTTTTTGTTCTGGCGTTCTTAGAGGCCCTCTTGGGGACCTGTTTACCCCTGTCGGAGCCTGAAACATTGTTTCTTCGGAACGTCTTGGGACGATCTTGGGGCCGTCTTGGGGCCTTTTCCGAGCCCCTCTTGGATTCTCTTGGACGAGGTTGGGGCCTCATAGGGCCATCGGAAGCGAAAAGGCGATGTGTTCAAAGTCGGTTGGGCCTCTCGGGGGTATATCCTCTCAGGGGTACCACTGTAGAGCTCAATTGCCACTTGGACCCGCATTGGCACGGTCTTGAGGCATGCTCGAGGCCATATTGAGTTACATTGTACCATATTGGAGACTATCTATCACAAACTTGGACCACCTGGGACGCTCTGACCGCTCGCGAACCCCTGCTCCAGACCCCAGAGGAGAGCCTTCCCCTAACAAGGTGGGCGAACCACTCTAGTCGCTGGGAGCGACGGAACTGACGTGGGATGGACCCTGCCTTGTCCTGGCAGGCCTTCAAGACGGTCCAAGACGGCACGACAAGGGAAGCTAATACCAGACGAGACACGACAAGACAGGACAGTAGGAGTCAAGATAAGACGAGACCAGCCAAGAGCCTCCAAGTTGGCCAAGGATGGCCTTGGCATTGCTCCCCCCCTACGGGTTTTGATTTCGTCTTAAGCATTGTCGATTGACCATGGTAGGCCCTCTTCATTCCAGCACCCCGCGGTTCCGTCATTGCAGACGAGCATGTTTTATCCTTGCAGGCAGAGTCGTCCGACACCGGGTGGTAAGGGGAATTAGAGGCCAGCGCCACTAATTGCGATGTAGGCTATCTCTGCTTGTGAAAGGGGCGTAATGTTTTTCGAATGGGACTACGCCATGCGCAGTCATATCCGTGAAACTATTAAGATCGCGCGTTGCCACTGAGCCGAAACTCCTGGTGGTGGAATGGCTCGTTCGTTGCGTCTTGCTTTCCAGACCACCAGACAGCCAGAGCAGGCAGCGTCTCGTCACATCAAGCAATGCAAGGCATTTCGCGGATTTGGGCTATAACTTCAGTAGGGATCTTCCCAGCTCGTCTCAGCTCACGGCAAAATATGGGACTCACGCGCGGCTGTTGCATCTCACTAATAGTTGCCACACTATGGTCTCATGTGCGACGCGCATCTTCCCACGATTCTGTTGTGACCGTCTGGGATCTCGAGAATGCGCCCTCCACGTGGTATGTGCCTTCTTCTCTGTGGGCAGCAGGCGTTTGGGGGGGGGAAGACGAGCCCGCTTTTCCCATTGACCTTCACTACTCACATTCGATGCACACGTGTCCCGAAACATCCCCGAACCTTGCCACATGGGAGGGGGGGCACGGGTGGGGATATGCCCATCGAGCGCTACCCACAATGACGATTTCTATTGGACGTCGACCACGGTGCTGGCGTGCACGTGCACGTGCTCAAGTAGGCTGATGAAGCCGAGCTGATTAGCCTACGTCCCCCTTGGGGCTGCGTGCAGTGATGGCGCTGGGAGGTGATCGACAACATCTTGCTCCGCAAGCCACGGGCGGCGAGCAAGCCTGCCGCCATGGTTCATCTCAGGAGCGATCCAGGGGGGCGGCAGGGTCAGACGGGGAGATGGCGGCAGGGCAGCGCCGAGCTTGGAGCAATAGTCCGCAGCAGGTTGCCGCAGGTGGGAAAGCCCGATGCCGATCTCTGAATCGCAGCTTAACTTGCTGGGTGATCCACACAAGTCGTCAAATCCTAGGCCGAGCTCAATTTTCAATTGCATTTCTCATGACACACGGCCTTGTCGTTTGGTTGCACAGATCCCATCGTGTCACACGAAGGCGCACGCTGCAGCACGTCACATCACAATAACTGTCCCCATGTGTCACTGCACTGCGTCGCAATACGTTCAGTCACCCCGTGACCCCTCGTGGCCCTCATGGGTAGTACTATTATCGTGGCCCCTTGGATCCGTAGCCCCTCGTGGCCCTCAAATGCGGTACCGAGCTCACGGCTTGGCGTGGAGCTCAAAGGCCACAGAGTCAAGTAGAGTGTTCGTGACCGATTTGAACCTCTTGACCCTCGCATGAAGGATGGTGTTCTCTGACTGATCGTGGCACGTGGGCACGAGGCTTCGTCTTAGCCATGTGTGGCACTCCTCGGTTTCAGGGAGTGGTTCGGTTACTCGTGGCTCGTCACTTGGCCAGCACAAAGTATTTCGTTACCTTGCACCACGTGGGGCCCCGTCACGGCACAATGCAGCAGAGTGTGGAATCACGCTGCACGCTTTGACGCTCCACTACACGCAGTCACCCCAGGTGTGTTCGCGGCCCTCGTGGATTGGATGGGGTTCAAGAAGAAATTACGTTGCCCGCGTGCACGCATAGCCTCTGTGCCCGTCGTGTGCGAAGTCGGGCTCAAGAGCTGCTGGGTGGAACTCAAGAAACGGTTCAGCTGCGTGTTGCCGCGTGGCCTTCCCGTGGTTTCTGATGATGGTCTTTTTGATTGCTTGTGATTTCGTGGCTCCCCGTGGCCATGCGGGGTTAATCTCTGGAGTCGACTCAGTTGCTCGTGGCGCGTGGCCCTGTAATTTTATCCTGTCACTCCGCTGTCCTCCTGGAGCACATGGGTCGGTTCGGTTGCTCGTGGCACGTGGCCTGGTGCATGCAGCATCCTACATAATTCTACGTTGGCTGCCATCGCGCCACACCAAGGTCTGTGTGTATGTATCGAAGACGCATGCAGTGCATCACCGCCGCCCCCTGCTTTTACAAGAGCCTATGTGGGCGAACCTTGCGGCCAGAGCTCGGTCAAGCTGTCGGACCACGTGTTCTTCCAGCCTCTTGGAAGTCCCTGGGCAGTCTTGGGACCCACTTAGGGCGGGCCATCTCAAAAGCCACGGGAAAGCTATGAATTGGCCTCTTCCGGCCTTCCTAAAGTTAGTTTTGGAGGCGTCTTGGGCCGTCTTGGAGCCCTTTGGGGCCGTCTTGGGCGATCTTGGGGCCATTTTGGGGGCATTTCGGCCCGTCTTGGAGACGTATAGGGCCCTTTTGGCCGTCTCAGAGGCCATCCTGGGGCCGTCTGGAGCGGGAAGACCGGCGACCTGGTAACTTAATGGGTCATGATGGGGCAGAAAGGCGATGGGAGACCCTTTTTGATGCGCCCTTCCGGGTGGCCAGCACATTAGACCGAGTGCCCCTTGGGAATTTACAAAAGACGCTTCAAATAATCTAAATGTTGGCACGCCGTGCACTCCTCTGGCAAGCCAACAGGGGGCGGCGGATCGAAGACGCCTACGGCGAACCACCGCCGCCCCCTGCTTTTTAGGGTACGCCTATGTGACCAAACATTTGGGCAAAGTTTGGCCTCGCTATTGGACCATGCGTTCTCCCAGCCGTTGTGCAAGCTGTTCGAGGAAGACGTGGGAGAGGAAAAGGAGGATGAGGAGAGGGACGAAAAAGGAGGACGAGGAGAAGGATGAGCTTCTTGGGTACTGGGGGCCTCTTGTAGGCATCTTGGGAGCCTTGGGGGCTTCTTGGGGGCCTCTTTGGCCGTCTTACAGCGTTCCCGGCCCGTCTGACGCCGTCGGAAGCCGTCTTGGGAGCCTCTTTGGGCCGTCTTGGGTCCTTCTTGGGGCGCTGCAGGGTCGTCTTGAAGGGCGTCTTGGAGGCCTCTTGGGCCCTTTTGGGGCCATCTTGGGAATCTCTTGGGCCGGCCCCTTGGGCGATCTTGGGGCAATCTTGGGCCTCTTGGGCCGTAGGAAGGCTGTTTTGAAGCAAATGCTAAGATCTTTCAAAAACCACCAGCAAATCAGTGATGTTGGTCTCTTCGGGTCTTCCTGGAGGACCTCTTGGAGGCCTCTTGGGCAGTCTTGGGGTCCCCTTGGGCGCTTCTTGGACCGTCCCGGGCTCTCTTGGGCCATCTCGGCGGTCTTGGAGGCATTTTGGGACCGTTTTTCAAGCCACCTTGGAGGCATCTTGGAGGTCATCTGGGGTCATCTTGCCCTTCTTGGAGGCGATGGAGCCAGCGAAGTTGGATTTTTCTGATCTTTGGGCTCTCCGGGTGGCCGGCGGGCTGGGCCGAAGCCCCACGACGGGGAGGCTTTTAGAAAAGAACCAAACATTTGCCAGACATTCGGCACGCCGTGCAGGCACGACCACAGGGGGCGGCGGATCTAGTGACCTTCTGCCCATCCCGCCACCATGCCGGGGTTGTGGGTCAGAGACTTCTCTGATGTTTTTCGGGGTCTCTTGGGGTGTCGCTTGGGGGTCTCCTTGGGCCTCTTGGGCGCCTCTTGGGCGTCTCTTGGGCGCCTCTTGGGGCCTCTTCGATACCGCTTGGAGGGCTCTTTGGGGCCTCTTGGGCGTCTCTTTGGGACCTGGAGGCGGTCTCGGTAACAATCTTAGGGTGGAGGGCCCGTTGGAGGGCCCTCCACCCTAAGAGGGCCCGTTAGGGTGGAGGGCCCGTTGGAGGGCCGTCACAGTTCGTATTGCCCCTTTGGAGGGCTTCGGGGGCTGTCCTTGGGCGAGCGTTGGGCCCTCTTGGGCCGTTCTGGGCTATATAAGAGGCGAAGGGCGAGGAAGCTAGAAACAGTTCTTCTGTTTTCGATGAGATTCGCCACTTCAGGTGGCTCCCAGAGTTTCCAAGAGGACCCAGCCCACGAGGGCTCCAGGACGGGCCCTGGAACCATCATGAAGCATGCTGGAAGTGTGGAATCCAAACCACGACCCCGAGGCCTCCAGAAAAGTCACGCGACAAGCCCGGGGCGCGCGGAAGTCGTGGCCCTGGGCTCTGTAAAGGGCAGCTTACTACATTCAACACGGAGAACTCGAAGGGATCCGATGACACACCACTCAGTGCTTCGCGGAACGGCACTGGACATGCATTGATACATATACGTGTGCCTTATCATGCATATATATATACGTGCGAATACAAAAACAAACATACATATATGCATGCATGTAGACATACATGCATGAATACATCCATATGCACAGACATGTATACACATATACGGGCAAACAGACATACATACGTGCATGCATGCGTGCATGCATACCGGCATGCATACATACAAGTGCATACATGCATCCATATATATATATAAATATAATATGCAGACAGCTATACCTGCATGCATGCATGCATGCAGACATACATGCATACATGCATACATACATTGCTATGTATATGTATGTATGGATGCATACAAGTGCATGTACCGGCATAACGTAAAAGTGTATGTGCGTATGTAAGTATAGACGTACAGTTGACAGCACGAGCGTTTGTACATGCGCATGCAAAAACATTGCTGCATGCGTACAATATGTGTATATGTCTACAACAAACCCTACACACATACGCACATGTGTATATGCGTGTGTGTGTGTGTGTGTGTGTGTCTCCAGCTGTCTGCCGCAAGCCGTGCCAGCACAGCAGCGCAGTGTGAAGGCGATTGGGTTCAATGGTCACGCCAGTTCAGCGCGCAGTCTGAACTCAGATTGGCTGTTTGAACGGGAACTCGTTCCCTGGTCTTGGAGCCCTCTTGGGCCGTCTTGGAGGGTTCTCGGGCAGTCTCGGGGCCATCTGGGGGCTATCTGAGGGGGGACTTCGGTGGACTGTGCCACCAGTGCTTTCGGAGGAGCTGCTATCTGAGGGCAGTGTTGGGCAGTCTGAGAGGCCTCTTGAGGCTAGCTGGAGCTTCCCTGAGGCAATATGAAGCCGAAAGGTGCCGGGATCAAACAAATCAGTGGTTTACGTTATGTTGTTCAACACATGTGTCTTCTGATTGCATCGCCGAATGCCTCTTCAGTTGTTTCGTTGAGGCTTAGCTGTGCGTCTTGGGGTATATTGAGGGGTCTTGTAGTCTTTGGGGACTCGCTGGTCCGTCTTCAGGCGGTCTAGGATGAGTTTAATACCCACGCCAGCTCAGCGCGCGGTCTGGACTCGCGTGGATATTTAATTCGACCTCGTCGATCTCTCGGCCTTGGGAACGTATTGGAGGCTTCTTAGGCAGTGTTGGAGCCGTCTGGGGGCTCGCTCGGGGCAGTCGTGGGCCGTCTAGGGGGCTTCCCGAGGCTTTCTGACGGCTGAAGCTTTCCCGAGTCGATCTGAGGCCGAAGGGTCTCGGGATCCACGAGATAATGTGTTCCTATGGTTTTTGAACGTGTTGTTCCTCTGAGCGCCTCGCTGGATGTCTACTCGGACGTCTCTTGGAGCACTCTTGAAGCATTGTCGGGAGATTTTTTTGTCTTTGGGGGTTCGTTGGTCCGGCTTAGGGCGGTCTTAGGGTGAGTTCAGGACCCACGCCAGTTCAGCGCGCGGTCTGAATTCGCGTGGGCATTTAACTCGACGTCGTTGCCTCGGTCATGGGGAAGTATTGGAGGCTTCTCAGGCAGTGTTGGAGTCATCTCGGGGCTCGCTCGGGGCAGGTTTGGACCATCTTAGGGGCTTCTCAAGGCTGCCTGACGTCTGAAGCTTTCCCGAGTCGATCTGAGGCCGAGGAGTCTCGGGATCCAAGAAACAATATTTCCCTATGGTTTTTGAACGTGCTTCTCGCCTGAGCGCCTTGCTAGATGTCTCTTCGGGCGTGAGGACTCCTGGTGCGTTCTCTGAAGATCTCGTAGTCTGGGGGCTCGATTCCATCTTCGGGCGGTCTTCGGGTGAGTTTCAGACCCACGCCAATTCAGCGCGCGGCGTAAACTCGCG